ATAAACGTTTTGAAATGCAAAGAAAAACTATGAACTGAGGGAATTTTCAAAGTGCTATAGAGCTGCATGGCAGTACTCCATAAATGGGGGGGGGGCTTAAGATCAGCAGGGGATTCACGTTGGCAGACGGCTTATATCCAAGAATCCATGGTATATTATGTAAATTTCTTGGGTTTTTTTTACCTTCACTCCCCACCCCCCTCCACTAGAGATATCATACTGGCTACTAATCCTTGCTTTGGCAAATTATTAACCATTTTGAAAATTTTCTTTATAATTTCTCTAAGGAGCCAGATTGGGACCAGTCAAGTGCRTTTTTTGCCAGAGCTGCAGGACGAAATCCTCCATCTAACCCAACTAATACTGTTACCAACACATTAAAAGATACCAATAATGCATATTTATCAAATACTACTGATACTCAATCTAATAAAAATGAAGATGAAAAAGAGACAACTACTGAACAATTGGATCCTGTTGTACTACAAAGTAGACAACTTGCAGGTAAGCTAATAAAAAGCTATTTCAAAAAARGTTGGTGAAGGTTWTGTTGYRTCTTAAATATCAAGCCAGTGTCTAGTCATTCTGATGCTGTTCACACTACTTTGGGGGAACTTTTCATGCACACACTACCACGACATTCAATATTCTATGCACTCAAAGCAGAACTCACTTGTTGATTTTTTAAGGAAACCAGAGAACGTGGAGAAAGCTCTTGTAGCATAGGAGAGAACAACACATTAAAYAAACTTAATTTACATGTGGTGACCACAGAGGTTAAAGCTGTGACCCTAACCTTTGGAACCACAGTTGCRAAAGACAATACATAAGCTGTGCATGCCACYGATGTACCCTAAATGATAAAGAAAATCAGCCATCCACGGATTCTCTCCCCTCTACATTTGTTTGCTCGTTTGTTTCTTTTGAGTTAGCATTACAAAGTAGTTCTTTAATTTTCTTTATTTGTTTATACAGTTCGTGGAAATGAAATGGCAAACCTTGGAAACTATGCTGCGGCAATTGATTTATTTACACAAGCTATAAAACTAGATGCAAGTGATTTCAGGTAAAAGTTTAAGAATTATTTCCTTTTTTTCCTCAAACTTTGACATTTTAATTTTGTAAAAAATTAATCGATTCATAGCATTAGAAACATGTTGATGYTTATAATAATGTATAATATTTATTTTGAACTAGATTCTTTGGTAACCGGTCATATTGTTTTGACCGTTTGGGACAATATGAAAAAGCATTACAAGACGCAGATGTTGCTATATCTCTAGCACCAGACTGGCCTAAAGGATACTTTAGAAGGGGTAGAGCATTGGCTGGCATTAAAGTATGTTGTCCCACTGGATAAATTTAATTAATGAAACAATATATTAGAGTATCACAATTCTCCTATAAGCTTGATCATTAGAGAGCTGCAATATAGATCCCCAGGGGGGGATACTCTTGCTCGTTTAGGGTAGGGATGTGCTGCTGAGCCCTCTAAACCCTGACCCTGTTCCAGAGCAAAAAAAGCTGAAATTCATACCCTGTTCCAGAGTAGAATCGCTGAAAACCATACCCTGTTTGGCGGCACGTACCCGTATAGCGAATATAGGGGAGTACTCCCCCCCCCCTCCCCCAGTATAGATCTGTATTGTCAGCTCACGATTACCTTGTGATTGAAGAATCACAATACAAAATTTATTTTGATTCATCAATACAGGTTTATATTGACAGGCAAAAATCGTAATAACTTAAAATTAATATTAGTGACATTAAGCCAGTCAGAATGCAGGAAAGCCGCTGTATGGCTTTTGGCTATATTCCACTTTTTTTCCCACCAGGCATTCAGAGTCTTAAATTTCTTCACTTGACAGCAAGCTATGCATTCCTTGTGCTACTTCCCAATCTGGGGGTTAAAACAAAAGAGCTCCCTTTTTTATGTTAATATTTTTAGTTGTTTTGGCAGGGATTAGAGATTTTTGTATTCTAGAAAATACAAGTGCCATGTGGATTATTTAACAAATAAAACAGCTTTTTCGTGCTCCGTTCAGTAATAAAGCACGCAGGAAGTGGTATAAGCACGAAAGAAGTCTAAGGAGAAGTACGAGCCRTAGGCGAAAATATAGTTACTAATTTTATTTCGGTATTGAATTTATTTACGCAAAAAGAAAGACGGTCACAGAACTTTGCGAGCGCGTATGGCGTCAGCACTGTGCTCCKTTCACTATGAAAGCACAGTTTTCGACCAATCAGTGCATTCTATCCTAACTATGTAATAATATCTTTTGTTTCTTTTCAGTTATTTTCAGACAGTGAAGTAGCATTTGCACAAGTACTAAAGTTGGATAAACATTGTGAAGATGCCATGTTTGAACTGGCTAAAGTTAGAGTACAGCAGCTTGAGGTAATGACACTCATTGTGGAGTTTTTAATTGTATTATTGTACCCCCAGGTTGGTGGTTGTGCCGAGGGCTAATRACCCACTCCCCTATATAATAAAAAGATTATATTACAGAAACTGAAAACATCCTAAATTCAACCAGTAGGTTTTAAGGCCTGTGACTTGTGGTGGTGCGAGAACTATCAACTTTTATCCAGCCCCATCCCATCCAGCGACAGTATCCCATCCGTACCTGCCATTCATCTTCCATTCATAATCCATTTATTTTTTTAATTGCACATTTTTGCTCTTGTTATTGGYAGTCACTTTTTTCTTACCTCGTGTAGGATATGGGTTTTCCAACTATACAAAGTGAAGCTGCAATACGATCTTTCGGCACAGTACAAGCTGCATTAGAAGCATTATTAGCTGGAAAAGGTAACAATAGGTGCCACCCAATATGTGATTGATTGAATTACTGACAGATTAATACTAAGAATACACTAGTATACATGCACAAAAAATGGATTGATCAATCAAGATTGATGCAATGGCTGACTAGTTCATTCATGACCCTAGATTGATATCACAGATTTTGGGTGTTCAAAATAGACACCCATAAGATAACMAGGCAAGCTATTTAGATGGCTGTTTTCTTAAACACCTGCCCACTCCTTGTCTAAAAGAGTAACTACTGAAGAAATAGAAAACATGCACCCGTGCTGTGTGCAGCTATAAAGCATGCAGGGGTTGACAGAACATGAGAGAAGAGTTAGGAGAAGCATGATGCGAAGCGGAGTGCTTCTCGACACTTCTCGAAGTGTTCTGACAATCCCCAAGTGCTTTATAACTTCACACAGCAGCACATCAAGCAAGTTTTTTATTTCTTTTATAAGACATAAATTAAATTAATATTGAAACTGAAAGTGCGCATGCATYATGYGTGCTCTCATAAAGCACTCGCTCCCAACCAATCAGAACACAAGAWTTAGAACAGTTCTTTTATAAATATTTATATCAAATGCGTTATTTTCTTCCAGTTCAATGTCCCAATACAGAGGAAATATATGTATCAGATGAAGAGGAGGATGCAAGAATAAGGTATGAAGATTGGGCTAACTAGACTWGCTGTGCAGAGGTAAACACTACATTGGGAAATTTAGGGGTAAGCCCAATGGGCAGCCCCCTTTCTCCAATATTCAAAAGAAAAATCTAGCTTGCTGTAGACCCCTTTTAGATTAAAAAATGACTCCATAATTTAAGAGTACAAGTTAAAATTACTCTTGTTACTAAAGGGAATTTGTAATCTCTGAATGGTTCTGCATAAGAAAACATATGAATCAACTCAAACAAAGAATCTTATTCTCAACTCTATTTCTATAGTAACTTATACAATCATGGTCCAAAAGAGAAAGACTTTTTGCTGCCTGTGTCACTCTATTCCAAGTGAGATACCAGCTATGTATTTATAATACATCTGATAATTCCTGGTTGTTTTCCACAGAGTCACCTCATCTATAGCCCCCGTTGAACAAAGTATAGGTTTGTGTAAATCAGTCTGGGTTGGTAATGTCAATGCTGAGATAGTAAGTGAAGCACAGCTGCAGCAGATATTCTCTCAATGTGGAAAAATAGAATCTGTCAAGGTGCTACCCACAAGATACTGTGCATTTATAAATTACTTGACTCCTGAAGCAGCTGCTAGAGCCATAACAATTTTACAGGTAATATGTTACTAACACAATTTATGATGACTATATAATAGATTTCTAGCCAGGATCTAGATCTTATTTAAGGGCCAGGAGGTCCAGGTAGAGAAAAATTTWAAAAAACTGTACCCRAGGTCTTGAAAATATGGGTCAAAGCTAGAATAAGGTCCGATTTGAAGGTTGAGGGCACAGTTTTTCCCTATCTGGACTGACTTTAGGGTGGTAAATATCTTATCTATTTTTCCCCCATTTACTTTTACACTTTGTTTTGTTGTTTGACAAACTGTTTTCGCATGCGCCTGCATAGATGACTTAAGCCGTACGTCAGGATACTGGACCAGGGACAGAGAAAGAAAGTACTGCACACTTGCACAGCCAATCAGAATGCACAATTCTTAGGATACCAGAATGGAAAAACCAATACCAGTAGTTCAGATTTTGCATTATGTTGAAAATCTCTTGTAATGGGATCTCATTATTGTTCTTTGCATTTCACAGGATGCAGATTTCAAATCCCCCAAAAGTCACTTTCAAATAAGTGGGTTGCCTTTGGTTTACTAACACACAGGAACCCCAAGTAAACTTAAGTTTGTTTTCTCCTCACAGGGATTTGAATTAGGTGGGCAAAACTTATTGCTGCGTTACCCCAACAACAGTGGCATTCCAACTACTTTACAACCACTAGTTAATGAAAGGTACCAACTGAAGCTTTAATGATCTCTCACAGTAATTCCTAGATTTATTTAACCTTGTCCAATTATTCTGTCTTTCATAGCTTTTCCAAACCTAAACTAAGTGGTCCAGTAAATGGAGATGAATGCTATTTCTGGCGCACAACAGGATGTAGCTTTGGAGATAGATGCAGAAATAGACACTTACCAGAGAGTAAAGGTGTTGACTTGAAAAAAGTGGAAGCAAAATATGGAAAAGTATAATTCAGATCAAATTGAATATGTTTAGACACACCTTAGAATTAATATTCCTAGTTTTCTCTGGGGCCCAAGGATAGATTCTGGTGCATCTTACTTCTGAATACTTCTTCTAGTAAACTTGTTAAGGTAAAATCTTTCTAATGTGTAAACAATTTGTGTGATTTCCATACTTGTTTTTGATTACTAAGTCATAGCCCAGTTGTTCAAGATRACACTAGTCTTCATATATGTAGGATTTATTGGTGATTCAGGATTGTGAATAATCTGGCTTTAAATGACTCAGGTTCTCACCCCAGTAGTTGATCCTTTGATTGCTTGTCAAGGACATCTTGTCATGAATTTTTTATAGCAATACGAAAATAACACAATACAATACAATAAAATCATTATCATTGACATTAATAGTAAACATCAAGTCCAAGAATCAATGTTGAAAGGCCTATGTTCTCAAAGGAGGGAAGAGTACTAAACACTGAGATTCAATATTGATACAGTGGAGTCCTCTTATCTCAAGCCCTGGATGTCTTATACTTCATATTATTTGGAGCTKAAGGCTGTGTCCAGCAGACTCATATAACTACTGTTTTACCTTTGAATATTCCATAGACCTCAATTATTACGAACCATTTCTCTGATCCCCAGAAGGTTCATAATAATGAAACTCCCTTTTACTGATATCATTGATAAAAGATCATTGAAAATTATTGT